AAGGGGAAAAAATGAGAATCAAGACTTGTCATGTAGAGGTACAAGATCCCAACAATGAATGTAACTGTACTGTATCCCTAAAATGTACCAATAAACTCAATTAAAGCTGAAAAAAAAAAGAACCCTGGAAGGCCAGTAAACACTAATTTAATTCTCCTTTCTATATTGGCCTGTTTTAATGTTATTTTTTAATTTACCTAGTGCTTACTAGGGGAAAATAGCAAAACACAAAAAAAGATAAATTGGAAAGCAAGATTCAACCTTAATCCTAATGTGCAAAACTGTTAACATTTTGATATTTCTTTCCCTTTATTCTTCTTCTTTTTCACTCTCAGGAAGGATGTAAAGTGTGAAGTGGCTCTGCAGTCCCTACTTCATTTCCTTCTGTCACAGATCCCTTCTTTCTAATATAAAACTGTACATGGTACAATAGCATTATACAGGCTTAGGGATTAGTATGAGAGCAAAGGCATTTTTCCTGGACAAAAGCCAAACAGAGTCCAAGAGAGGGAACAGCAACTCTCAGTACTATCGTTCATATCCAAAGTACTGAGTGGATCTTTTTGTTTGGGTTTGGTTTTTGTTTTGGTAGCGGGGATCAAAGTCGACCTCGCACTTGCGAGGCAGGCAGCGGCACCACTGAGCTAAATCCCAGCCCTCCAAAGTAATGAATGGGAATACGATAGGGTTACTGATGGTTTCATGGACACAGTTGAAAGTACAATGGAGGCTGCAAGTCCCCTTCATGAGGAAATGACAGCACAGAGGAAGGTGGAAACAACTGTTGATGTACATCTAGAATATTAGTGTGGACTTTTGAGATATCAGAAAGAGCAGTATAGGTATAGGTGCTACGCCCCCGGGTCTCACCAGTGAGACTTGGTGGCTAGTGGGACACTACAGTAGTACTGCGTCGGCATGTTGGTGGCTAATTTCACTGAACTCTGTGGCGCTGTTCCTTGTAACGTCACTAAGGGAGCATTCCATAAGGTCTGATGTCACAAGACTAGGGGAACTCAGCTTTCTGCAGCGCGCAAGTACTGCTGGGAAATCAAGTAGCTACTTACGGCTTGTGTGGCCAGCCAGGAAGGAGACTCAAGCTCGGTGGAAAATCCGTGGTAACTTTCTCAGGTAGGAAGGTCGTATGTCTGACACAGAGGTAGTGTGCCGCTTCCTCTCACTGCTCAATGAAAGGAAGAGTAAGGGGCCAACCACCTCAAGGCAGCCAAATATCACGTATGTCACTGATATTTCGTTAGCACTTCCATCCTACCAGACAGAAGGTCTAGAAGCCAGTGTTTTCTAGGTCATCCAATGACGACAATGGACCTTTAGTGTGCTACACAGGTGTGACATTTTCACTTCCTACACTAACCCCCCTCCACCAAACCACAGCCCTCAACTCCCTCATATGAATACATTTTTGTTATTGAAAGAATAGAAGAAAGGATTGTGATGAAAGCGTGAAGCTCTAGAGGCTTTAAGTTTCTGATTGTGCAATGGTAGCCGGGGGTTCACTGCTGAACCAAAATTCGCCCTTCATCTTACACAATTTGACCCCTTTTGGGCTCCCATGGACTACTGCTCAATCCTAGACTCCAGTATCTCTCATTCAGTGTTTACCTACTTTTTTCCATCCTAAGTACTTGTTGTAGGCTACTATAGCAGTTACTGTTTACAGTCAACTCCTTCAACAGGTCTCCCCACAGCCCTGTCACCAAATCTAAAGGCCTAATCGTTGAGCTATGTCTAGAGAGCAGGAACCAGAGTCTTCTGAAGCAGAGTGCGATGCAAGAGGCCACCCAGAGTTAGAAGATAAGGAACACTGGCATTACCCAGGTAAGGGACTACTTTTTTACCATTATACTAAGGAGAAAGAGAATCTCCCCATGTTACCATTTGGAGCGACTCAGGTCATCTCTCAAACTCCCAAGGATTAAAGGGAAAACCACTTCCTCTCTCCCAGTGCTTTTTGCTTGACGTTCCACCTCTTCTTTCTGACTTTTAAATCATTTCACTTTATGCCATACTAGACTCCTTAGTTTTCCCCTAAAACCATTGAATTGAATTATGGGTTCCCTTTAATGAAAGGCATCCAGAATGATAAAATAAATGAGCACCCCCTACTAAACCATATGGGGCTGCAGGTGGACACAGCTGGAAAGAAACAATGTTAAAGATGATTAGATTTTCCCAGTGTGAACTGATATTCTATTTCCTTTCTGTTCTCTTCCTCCTACATGAGTCATCTGGGATTGTACAAATTGAAGGACCTACCAGACAAACTATATAAACTGTGGTATTTAACACATACTTCAGGTCTTTTTCTCACCTTGGGGAGGTAATTTTACCTTTCCATATCATAATCTCACATTATACAACATCAGAGACATTGCATACTCCTGCTTCTTTGCCTCAATGTGGATATGTCTTCAAAGCACTTTCACCTCAAAGATATTAAATGCACTTTATTTTTTACATTTGAGTCTATTTATTTTTATCCTATTTTGTTGTTTATGTTTTTTAAGTGCTGGGATTAAAATCATGACCATCAGGATCTCATGCATGCTAGGCAAGCACTCTACAACTGAGCTGCATGTATATACCTTATCCTGATTTTCTTAAACATTGATTTTATACATATTGAGGATATACTCCTAAGTGAAATAAATAAGCCACACATGTGTAAATACCGAATAGTTTCTCTGGTGTGAAAAACTATAATAATACATAATATCCTAATGAGATAATTGACAATGTGAAATAGGAAGAAAAGGGCTAAAGGTGTAGGGAAAGTGGGAAGGGTAGGAGAAAGGGAATAAGGGAAAAAAATATGAAAAATGGAAATAAACTGTAAATGGGGAGGGAAGGAGGGGGTGAAGGGAGGGCAGTGACAAGGGGAAAAAATGAGAACCAAGACCTATCATGCAAAGGTACAAGATCCCAATAATGAATGCAACTGTACTGTACACCTAAAATGTACCAATAAACTGAATGAGAAAAAAAACATTGATTTTTTAAAATATAGCCTTTATCTTGGGACCTTTTAAACTTTGCTTTTGAAACATTTTAGGAGAAAATGTCTAGAATTCCAGAATGTTATTGTATGTCATCAATTTCAGAGAGCACTGAAATAGAAAATAATATTCAATAAAATATTTTCAATTCTTCCCTTCCTTCTTTGTCCTTGTTAGTTTAAAAGTGCCAGTAGTACTACTATAGATCCCAGTTCTAAAGTAGTTGAATGCTATTGCCTTTCATCAAACTTTCTTATAGGTTGTTAATAAGATCCTGATTACATTTAGGTTCAGTAACCTAATTTTGAGAAGGAAGGAACTGGTGACAGGCAAGGTTCTGCATATAGGGTTTTTGTGCCACCAGCCATTTAAGCCAATTGTGTGTTTCAATTGTTTGTATTTCCTTCTCACATCTTTCTGCTATTGATTTGAGGATTTCTCTTTCATTTTTACATTAACTTTTCTCATATTTACAGATAATAATACCCACAAGCAGGAGGATACATCCTTATTGAAGTAAGTTATGAAACCTTTTATTCATATTAAAATTGCCATCTTTGTGGCAACAGCTGATGATACAATCAAAATTAATAGCAAAACTACATTACAGATTGTCTTGATACATAAAGAATATCAATGTACCCTTCCATGAGTCGTTCAACACAAGGAGGTGGGAATTTATCAATAGAAAGGATCTTTGGTCTTTCACTATCTGCAACTGGTTTGAAAAAAAAATCCTACTAGAACAAGTGTCTGAGAAGGTGTCTTTGGTATCCTGATTTCTCATGTTCTGTACTCTTTGCTATGGACTGTAGTGGGTACTGATTTGTGTTACACTTAGTTTTCAGCTGAGAATCCTCCTAAGACTAAGTGGATAAATGATGCTAATAACACTAAAGATGAAATACAGATCCTACCTTAGAGAGCTGATAAACCAAATTCCTACGAACTCTTGGAGAAAATGAATAGTTTATATTTAGCTTATTTTAGGACTAATTTATTTAATTATGAAAATAGAGAGTAGGAAACATTCTAAGTGCCACCTTCTCTTCTTGCAGTAACAGCCTAAATGGCTTAGAAAAGCCACATTTCTATTATGAATAATTAAGGCCATCTTCCTAACATAGCTAAAACACTTTGCTACCACTGATAAATTTGTGTTTATTACAAGTATTATAAACCAAAATTAGGTTAGTAGCTGTGATCTGAACAGAAACAGCCACAACAACAAAATTGGCTGAAAGTATCAAACTGAAACATGTTTGGTTAAAACCAAAATAAATACATCAAGTGAGCCAGTTTTATTGCATAACTATTTTGAAGCAATTAAAGTAAAACAAATGGAAGTATCTGGCTCTAGAACTGAGAGAAAATGTACTGATCTAAGTTTCACTCTGTCATTTGTATAAAAAAAAAAGGTGGTCTAGGTGACCCCTAATGTCTCTTTCAGCTCAACATTATATTCAATGCATTGTCAGATTTCAATTTTAATTATTCATTAATTTGGCTTTAGTTCCTGGGTTACACTTTAAAAGAAAAAGATTACTATTCATGCCATTTTTAATTGTAAAGAATCTGGTGGGAGGCAAACAGATCTAAGGAGTATTTATTGTTATGTCATTTTTTCTAGCCGTGGGGAATCGTTTCTTCACCAACAAGATGATCTTCAAGAGAAGAAGGTTAGCAGTGCTGAAGGTAGAGACTTCTGTGAGAGGGTAAGTGTGGAAAGAACAGAAAAATACTGCGATGTGGGAAGAGCATAGGAAATGGAAAAGGGAAAGAGTTAAGAAGATACCAGATAGTGTGTGGTATTAGGATACTGATGTCAACAGAAAATTAAAGCACACTGAGAAAGTATGGTTATCTAGTGGTCACAATCTTTTTATCCATAAATCCTTCTTTTAGGCTTTTAAATAAGCATAAGCTTTTCCTTCTTTGTTGTTCCTTCCTTACCTGAGTAGAGAGCTATATTACTGTACTTTCTAAGCATTTGTTCTAACTCATCTCTTCTAAACCATATATGGCAAACATAATGTTGCTTCTACATGCCATTCCTACAAACTTTAGAAGATGGTAGTCTTTCTTTCCACTATTACTTTAGCCCTGAATCTTCTCCAGAATAGGTAAAATATTCATCATTCCTTCAATCTTTCCTCATATGACTTGCTTTGGAGCCCCCTTGTCGTCCTAGTTCTTTGAATACATTCCAGTTTGTTTGGACATTTTTAAAAGTGTGGCATTCTCAGATGAATGCAGTACTTCTAAAGCTGAATGAGTGGATTACATGTAGGCAGGACTGTCACCTGCTTCCTTCCACATAGTGCATTTCTTTTAATTCATTCAAGAATAAATCTGTTGCTTTTGTTCTCTTAGTTTATAGTCTATACATGTTACTTACTGCAAAGTAAAATTCTCAGGATATATGCTAAGTAGAATTTCTAACTATTTTACATATATACCTGCTTTTATACTTAACATATATATTTCTACTAAATTTCATATTATAAAATTTGGCCCATTCAAAACTTTCATTTTTTATTCTTATCAAATTAGACATGCTCTCTCACATATTTTTTCCTCAAGTTTTATTGAGGTCTAATTGATGAATAAAAATTGTATTTAGTTAAGATATGCAACATGCCTTTGGGTATACATTGTGAAATGATTGGCATAATGATGTTAACACAACCATCACCTCAAATAACTACCTTTTTTCTTTTCTTTCTTTGTGTGTGTGTGTGTGTGTGTGTGTGTGTGTGTGTGGAATGAATCCAAGCCTTTGATAAGCACATGCTCTACCTCTGAATTATAACCCCAGCCCCAAATTTTTATGGCAAGAACACTTAACATCTATTCTCTTCACACATTTTAATTATACAATGTAATAGTATGAGCTACAGTCATCATGCTGTACATTAGATTCCCCCAGAACATAATTATCTTATAACTAACCAATATCTTTTGATTGATATTTCCTCTTTTCTCCACTCCCCAGACCCTGGAAACCAATGTTCTATTCTCTGGCTGTATGAGTTTGACTTTTTCAGATCCCATGTATGTGTGAGATCTTGCAATGCTCTTTTCAATTTTGAGAGGAATGTTCATATTTTATACATAATGGCTGTACCAGTTTACATTCACTCTATTAGTGTGCAATGATTCTCTATATCCTCGCTTAACTTTTGATTTTTTGACAGTAGCCATCCCAACAAGTGTGATTTTGTGGTTTTGATTTGTATTTCTCTGATGATTAATGATGTTGAGCACCTCTTGGCAATTACTATGCTTTTTTGAAAAAAATGTCTATTCACACTGTTTTTTTGTTTTTTTGGTTTGTTTTTTGTGTTTTGGTTTTTGGTTTTTTTGGTACTGGTGTTCGAACGTGGGTCCTTGCGCTTGTGAGGCAGGCGGTGGAATCACTGAGCTAAATCCCTGCCCCTATTCACACTCTTTGACCATGTTTTAATCAGGTTATTTGGGATTTTATGCTATTGAATTCTACAAGTTACTTATGTTTTTTATATACTAACTACTTTTTAAAGTATGGTTTACACATATTTTCTTTTCTGAAGGTTTCCTGTTCACTTTGCTTCCTTCATTTGCAGAAATGTTTTAGTTTAACATACCCCCACTTGTTTATTTTTGCTTTTTTCTCTATACCTTTTGTGTCATATCCAAGAAATCATTGTCAGACCAATGTCAAGTTCCTTTTCCCATTTTTTTAGCATTTTACAGATTCAGGAATTATGTGTGAACTTTTAATTCATTATGAATTAATTTTTGAGTATGAATAAGAGGCCATTTTCATTCTATTGCATGTAGATTTGCTATTTACCAATACTACTTATTAAAGGGATCATCTTTTCCCAATTGTGTATTCTTGGTGCCCTTGTCGAAGAATAATTATCCATATGTACATGGGTTTATTACTGAGCTTGCTATTCTCTTTCATTGGTTTATGTATCTTCTTTAAATTTTATTTTTAGTTGACAGATTATAATTTTACAAATGTATGGAGTACAATATGATGTTTAGATATCATCCTATTTTGATTATGTGGCTTTGTAATCTAATTTGTAATCAAGAAGTGTGAAATTTTCAGCATCCTTCTCTCTCAACATTGCTCTGGTTATCCAAGGTCTCTTATGGCTCCATACAAATTTTAGAATCTTTTTTCTATTTTCTGAATAATGATATTGGACTATTTATAGTAGTGACCCTGAATCTGTAAATCTCTGGATAGTATAAATACTTTGACTACATTAATTCTTCCAGTTCATGAACACAGGGTATCTTTCTATGTGTGTCTTTTTTTCTATATCTTTTCATCAATATTTAGCAAATTTTCAGGGTACATATCTCTTGTGTTCTTTTTGAATTTATTCTTAAATATTTAATTGTTTCTATGCTATTTTAAGTGGGATTACTTTCTTAATTCTTTTTCAAAAACTTTCTTTGTGGTATGTAGAAATACCACTGCTTTTTATATGTTGATTTTTTTACATCTATAGCCAGAATTATGATTAGCAAGTCTGCCATCCAAGAAGAGGCTTACCATCTTAGAACAGTCTTTCTTCATCTTGATGTCATGAGTGACCTATGCCATTAGCATAAGTCAGACAAAATTGTGTCATCCCACAATTTCAGAATTTATTGAATAACAATAAATTCACAATCCATGTCATCTCTGTCAGTTTTATCTTGTTGAGTGTTTAAGATTTCTTTAATAGCCATAAGCCAGGAAATCATAAGTTCTTTTATTCAATTCCAATCTTAATTACTAATATCTATAATATTCAAGTCACATGTCAACTTCACACAATAATATATAGGTTACAGAATGTTTAAGAAAAGGTTAACAGGGGCCAGGGATTTAGCTCAGTGGTTCTGCCACCTGCCTTGTAAGCACAAGGTCCTGAGTTCAATCCCTGTTACAAAAAAAAAAAGAAAAAGAAAAGGTTAACAGTAGAATTTAAAGAGACAAAACTGAAAACAAAGGCAAAGAGTATGCCCATGTGATCACAGGTGGCCAGATAAGATTACAGACCAGGCAGAGGGGTTTGGAGGTAGCAGATTTTCTCAAGAGTGTGGAACTTGTTCACAGCTCAAATTTGTATGGCAAGCAATTTCATTGGGCTGCATCAAGGAGGTAAATTGAGCTGAGATGAAGTCTGGAGGATGGGAAGCCAGAGTTCCTTGCTTATGCTCTTGTGACCCCCCCCTCCAGGTGGTTTAATATGATATGCAATGTATGTGTCACCGTACCTCAGTGCCCCACCTTTCATATTATCCAGGTAAGGGAGTTGCATCATTCATTGGTCTTGTTTGTCCAATAGGCTCAAGGGACTGATTTTTCTCTAATATGGGTTTGATAGGTCATACATCCATGTGCCCTTTATTTAGTTTGATAACTTCACAAGTGATAATTTTATTAGCATGATTAAATTAGTTTTCATCTTCTGCCTTATGATTGATTTTGTTGATGGGTGTTTTGCTTTATGTTTAGTATGGTCAATACCTGTCAGTTATGTATTTACAGGCAAGTAAGGAAGTTATTCTGCCTCACCACTTGCACTTAAAATGGAGCAAATATGTACTTTATAAAATTAAGCCAACCTAGGCAAAGCATACCCTGAAAACTACTATTTTATACAACATTAAGCAACACATATATAGGCACAGTCTACTTTACCCTCTTGGACTCCATTGGACTCTCACATCTACTTGGAACCCAAAACTCCCACAAAGACACATTTTTCTGTGGATGGCTGCCAAATTATTGTTGTGGAAGAATATGATCAGGATATTTCCTATTCTACCATCTTTTCTTAAGCAATTCATTTAAAATTTTTATATATGCATTTAACATATTTTGATCATATCTATTTCTAATTTCCCTTTCTTACACACTCCTCCAGTTCCTCCTTATTCCATTTATCTTTAATAATAGTATCCTTCTTCCCTTCATGTCATCTTTAATTTTTTCCCTTGGATGCCATATATCAGGGAAAATATGCAATACTTGTCCTTCTAAGTCTGGTTTATTTTCCTTAACATTGCATCCATTTTCCTGTAAATGGCATGATTTCATTCTTCTTCATGGCTAAATAATATTGAATTGTGTGCATATACCATATTTACTTATTCATTCATAGTCAATGGGTACTTAAGTTGGTTCTATACTTTGGTAATTGTAAATTGTGCCACAATAAACAAGGGTATACAAGTATCCCTATTGTATGATGATTTAAATTCCTTTCCATATGCCAAAGAATGGAATAGCTGGAGCATATGGTTGTTCTATTTTTACTTTTTTTTAGGAACCTCCATAATGATTTTCATGGTGGCCATACTAATTTATATTCACACCGCAGTGTAAAAGGGATTCTTTTTCTCTGAAGTCTCATTTCTGAATTTGTTGTTTCTTGTATTCTTAATGATAACCATTCTGGCTGGGGTGAGATAAAACTTCAGTGTAGTTTTGATTTGCATTTCTGCAATGTCTAAAGATGTTGAACTTCTTTTCAAACATTTGTTGACCATTTGTACTTTTCCTTTTGAGGTCTCTGATTTTTTGGATGTAGGCACACATAGCTAAAAATTTTCTTCTTATAGTTGCTTTTGCTATATCCTGAAAGTTGTGATATGTTTTATTTCCATTTTCATTATGTAGAAAATTTTAAATTTCTTCCTTGATTTCTGCAATGACCCACTG